AAAAAAAAAATCCATCCTGCTTCTTTGGTTTTTTTTGTCAATTGTTTGATTTCATCCCATTAACTATTAGAAAATAGATTGAACATTCCAAAAATGAACACAATTCTACTGGCGTATGGCCAGCTTTATACTACAGTAATAAAGAGGGGAGGCAAGCAGGTACTGCTGGCTACCAACAGTTAGGTAGCATAAAAATTGAAAGGGTTAAGTAAATTTGGGGCTGAAAAAAAGTGAAACCAATCTAGTACAACCTATTCTTAAAAATTCCAATTCTGGTGTTAAAAAAGAGGGCAGAGAGATTCCCAGCTGGGAAGCTGCCAGCATCAGCCCTTTAATGGAGCCATTTATTTTAAAGGGAATTAAGTGTTTTTGTATTTTTTTCCTATGTTCACCTGTAAATTCCTTTTCCTATTCCTTTTTTATATAAATATGATCTACTGCATATAAATATGTTTTCTCCATTTACAACTATGCTGTGAAAAGCCTGATGTCATTCAAATTATTCACAGCACACACCCTGCTAAAGGAGACATAAAGGGAACAAACCTCCCTCACCTCTGCTGCCTCATATGGGGCCATGTGGATGCTCAATCAAATAAATCCAGTCATAAAGTGAGCAGATGAAAGCTGCAGATTCTTATTAAGAAGCCCCAGGTTGCTCTGCAAATACATAGTTATGGATGCATCCTATGTGTAATGTTTATTTGTAAAATAAAAGATTTTATACAAGTGATGAAAAAAAAATACAGGAGATCAGTTCAAAAACTTTGTCAATGTTAAAAGCAAAATCAAGAAAGACTGACCAAAAACTATTATCGTTTTCCTTTAAAGTGATTTAAGATTATATAAATAACATGAATAAATGTGGAAACAAAAGTAACAATACATTAAATTGATTACAATGAAATACAGATAATTAAAACATGAGAAAATAAGGATATGTTAAAGGATTAGGGATAAGTTCAGGCTCGGACCAGACCCTGTGCTGAACCTGAACAGATCTGAACCTGAACAGACCAGACCCAGTCCTGAACCTGAACAGAGGAGACCCAGTCCTGAACCTGAACAGATCTGAACCTGAACAAAGCAGACCCTGTCCTAATCTGAGCTCTGCCGAACTTGGAAGGAAGTTCCACTGCCGCCCAATTAGCTGTGACCGGGGAATTGCCTGCCCGCAGCTGCATCTATGTAAAGAGGTGGGATGCTGTGATGTCATTGACCTTAAATGGCCACATGACTATATTTGGTCAATGACAATGGCCTAATATTGCCATGTGGCCACATAAGGTCAATGACTTCAGCACAAGCATTCCATCCCTTTGATTATGTGCAGCTGTGAGGCAGGGAATGGCCACAGCTGATTGGGCGGGTGGCCCCAGGTCCCTTCCAGGGTCGGAGGATCTCAGGTTCGGACTGGGTTTAGTCTGAACCTGAACTCCTCTCTGTAAGGGATAACTAATATTTTGATTCATCTTACTGTATGAAACCTGCACAGCACAATAATGAAGCTCCCATTGTCCAAATGTTCATACACCGATCAGTCATAACATTATGACCGCTAACAGGTGAAGTGAATAACATTGGTTATCTGGTTACAATGGCAGATGGAAGTGGGAGGGAGATATATTAGGCAGCAAGTGAACATTTTGTCTCTGAAGTTGATGTGTTGGAAGGAGAAAAAATGGGCAAGCGTAAGGATTTGAGCCACTGTGACAAGGGCCAAATTGTGATGGCTAGAAGACTGGGTCAGAGCAGCTCCAAAACTGCAGCTCTTGTGGGATGTTCCCGGTCTGCAGTGGACAGGACCTACCAAAAGTGGTCCAAGGAAGGAAAAATGGTTTACTGGTGACAGGGTCGTGTGCAGCCAAGGCTCATTGATGCATGGTGAGTGAAGATTGGCCCATGTAGTCCGATTCAATAGAGTCAAATTGCTGAAAGAGTGAATGCTGGTTCCGATAGAAAGGTGTCTGAACACACAGAGCATCACAGTTTGGTCAGGGTGGCCATGCTGACCCGTGTCCACCACCAAAAGCACCTACAATGAGCATCAAAACTGGACCATTGGACAACGGAAAAAGGTGGCATGGTCTGATGAATTAAGTTTTATTTTATGTCAAGTGGTTGGCCGGGTGCGAGTGTGTTGCTTACCTGGGGAAGAGATGGCACCAGGATACACTATTCATTCACTATTCATGTGGATGTTACTTTGACATGCACCACCTACCTAAACATTGTTGCTGACCAAGTACCCCCCTTCATGGGAACGGTATTCGCTGATGGCAGTGGCCTCTTTCAGCAGGATAATGCCCCCTGCCACACTGCAACAATGGTTGAAGAATGGTTTGAATGCAACAATGTGTTTGGGTGTTGACTTGGCCTCCAAATTCTGTAGATCTCAATCAAATCGAGCATTGATGGGATGTGCTGGAAATAAAGTCCGATCCATGGAGGCCCAACCTCAAAACTTACAGGACTTAAAGGATCTGCTACTGATAGCTTGGTGCCAGATACCACAGCATACCCTTCAGAGGTCTAGTGGAGTCCATGCCTCGACGGATAAGGGCTGTTTTGTCGGCAGAAGTGGGACTTACTCAATATTAGGCGGCTAGTCATAATGTTATGTCTGATCGATATATGAAAAAACCCAGCTGTAATGTCGTATGGCAATAAAATAGTGATTTGAGAATTACACTTTTCATCTGATTGCATGCTTTTGTGCAAGATAAACCCTTGGTTTAGACACATTAAACTGATGCTGTCCTTTGCACACTTAGGGGAAAGCAAGAGGTGCAATTTAATGGTGGACCCATCAGCAACAAATACTCACCTTTGCCAGCTTCTCTGTTAAGCCACTGGGAGCAATGACAAATATTTGGTACTTCTGCATATGTGACTTACGCCCACATGATACCACTGTGCTTGGTGCTCATGCACCTTGCATTGTCAAATGGGGCAGTGAAGAGAGTTCTCAGCCGTGTAGGGCAGGGCTAAACTTCTTTGTTCCTGGTGGCACAACAGAGCGCAGGGTAGGCAAAGATAAATATAAGCTGCTGGTGGGGCTACCAATAAATTTGTGATCAACTGTTTTGCTCTGCTTGGGCAAAGTACAGGTTCACTTTAAAATAAACCTTGTAAGATAGCCAAACACGTCTCGAATTTAGGCCTGATTCCTAATGGATTGGCTGAAATTCCAGCTGCCGGTGACCATGCCAAAGGAAGGAGCTTGTCAATTTTTTCCAGATAGCCATGGATGCCATCTGTCAGATAATAATAGCCAGCAGGGATCCTTTCATCCACAAGTCTAAGTGTCTATTGCTAGCATTATTTGAAGGAAGATTTTAGTTTTTGTTTTTTTGGGGGGGGATGAATCAGTGCTAATATAATCAGTTCAAATGGGACAAATTGCATCACTAATGTACAATTTAAAGGCCACGTCAGCTCAGGTCAGTTTGCCTAATAGAGCTCCGGAGGTGTGGGCTCCCTGGCAGTGTCTACTTCAGAGACCAGCAGCCATGTAACCGGGCAATTATCAGGATATCGGCTAACGATCTACCTTATCCAAATGCCTTTAAGCAAAAATATCTTCTACTCAAAACAGCCAATCAGCATTGTTTCCCATCCTCTAGTTGCAATAAAGAAGTTGAAATCAACTAAATTCATTCCAGGTGCATCAAAACAAAGGGGGGGGGGACTAATAGAGCTCCGGAGGTGTGGGCTCCCTGGCAGTGTCTACTTCAGAGACCAGCAGCCATGTAACCGTGCGCTTATCAATATCTGCTAACGATCTACCTTATCCAAATGCCTTTAAGCAAAAATATCTTCTACTCAAAACAGCCAATCAGCATTGTTTCCCATCCTCTAGTTGCAATAAAGAAGTTGAAATCAACTAAATTCATTCCAGGTGCATCAAAACAAAGGGGGGGGGGGGGGGGGG